GTAGGGATTACAGACTGGGTCAGGGAGAGGTTGAAAATGTCAGGAAAGACACTTGCCTGCTGGTCAGCGCAAGGTCTGAGTATGAGTCCTGGTAATCCATCTGGCCCCGCGGCCTTGTGAATGTTAACCTTTTTAAAGGTCTTACTCACATCGGCTACGAAGAGCATGATCACACAGTCGTCCGGAACAGCTGGTGCTCTCACGCATGGTTCAGTGTTGCTTGCCTCGAAGCGAGCATAGAAGGCATTTAGCTCGTCTGGTAGGCTCGCGTCACTGGGCAGCTCTCGGCTGGGTTTCCCTTTGTAATCTGTGATAGTTTTAAAAGCCCTGCCACATCTGAAGAGCGTCATATCTGGTGTAATAGGATTCAATCTTAATCCTGTATTGACTCTTTGCCTGTTTGATGGTTGTAACCCAATTGAATATATTTGGATAGGTAATTCCAAATTAAAAAGTGAACTTGGAACAAGATGAAAACATGGGATTTATTTACATGAAATATTAGTTTGTATTTGTTATTTATTAGGTTGAACCAAAGGGGAAAAGTAAGTTGAGTGTTGAAAGAAATAGGTTGCAACTTGAAATATATGTTTGGTAATAATCAAATAAAACAGTTGGCATTGAATCATATATTTGGTTTCAACAAATGTAGTGTTTTTCAATTGAGAAAGCCTAACTAATTTACTTGTAACCAGTTGAAGTATTTTTTTTAGGTTGATCCAGAGTATTTTCTTTTTACCGTGCAGTGCACTGAGTGCAGGGCATGATCAGATGATATTGTTTAATACCTCTCTGTTCCTGGCGTTATGTAAGGCCCATGAATCTGACAGGCATTAGGAGGATCAGAGATTAGCTTTTGGACGGTCCATGGGTTTGATGTGATGTGGGGCTTATGGAAACCTTTATGGTTGTGTAAAGCCCTTGGCAGTTTAGTACCTGCGTACATGCTTTAACAATGCACTTCTGCTCCTATATTTGCTTAACTGTGAGTATCATATCCTGCCATAAAATGTATTTGAAGCATCTCCACCCTAAACTTCAACCATGTGAATTGAAATTGGTTTTGTATAACTATGTAATAGCATTGTGTAATACTCAGCTTGTTGAACTGTTCCTTTGGATTTGTTGCAAGTAATGCGTGAGGGTCCATTTGCATGGCATGGAACTAGGTTTGAAAAGCTTTATTTTAATGGTGAAAGTTCTGTTTTCAGTGTCTCTAGACGCATCTGCCTTCCGGAACCATGAGTGGGATTCAAACATTCCACAACAGGAGCTGCTTGAACTGCCCGGGTAAGAAATATCACACTAGTGTCTGTCTGCATAGAAAAATGGGGTGGTAAGTGTGTGAGGCGAGGTGGGGGTTCAACCATCTTTTTAGGGATAGTTTTTGCCCGCTATATATTCTTGGAATGTAAAGCAGTCCTGTCCAATTTGTTTTGCAGATTGAAAAATAAGCTACGTAAAGATGCTAATATAGCATATGACATCAGATCACACCTCTCCCATGAGACTGGAGGTAGAGGATAGGTAGCCTAGCAGTTAGAGAGGCGAGCCAGCAACCGGAGGGTTGCCATTTCGAATCCTGGACTTTACTAGAAAAAGTTGTCAGGAAGTGAGCTGGCAACAAATCAAATCCTAGATGCCACTTCCTGCCATTGTGCCCTTGAGCAAGGCACTTAACCCCCTACAACAACATCTCCCCGGGCACCCAGTGTGGCAGCCCCCCACACCTATCCAAAACCTGTATATGTATACAGTGGGGGGGAAAAGTATTTAGTCAGCCACCAATTGTGCAAGTTCTCCCACTTAAAAAGATGAGAGAGGCCTGTAATTTTCATCATAGGTACACGTCAACTATGACAGACAAGTGGAGAATTTTTTTCTCCAGAAAATCACATTGTAGGATTTTTAATGAATTTATTTGCAAATGATGGTGGAAAATAAGTATTTGGTCACCTACAAACAAGCAAGATTTCTGGCTCTCACAGACCTGTGGTCCTCTGTAGCTCAACTGGTAGAGCACGGCGCTTGTAACGCCAAGGTAGTGGGTTCGATCCCCGGGACCACCCATACACAAAAATGTATGCACGCATGACTGTAAGTCGCTTTGGATAAAAGCGTCTGCTAAATGGCATATTATTATTATTATTACTGTAACTTCTTCTTTAAGAGGCTCCTCTGTCCTCCACTCGTTACCTGTATTAATGGCACCTGTTTGAACTTGTTATCAGTATAAAAGACACCTGTCCACAACCTCAAACAGTCACACTCCAAACTCCACTATGGCCAAGACCAAAGAGCTGTCAAAGGACACCAGAAACAAAATTGTAGACCTGCACCAGGCTGGGAAGACTGAATCTGCAATAGGTAAGCAGCTTGGTTTGAAGAAATCAACTGTGGGAGCAATTATTAGGAAATGGAAGACATACAAGACCACTGATAATCTCCCTCGATCTGGGGCTCCATGCAAGGTCTCACCCCGTGGGGTCAAAATGATCACAAGAACGGTGAGCAAAAATCCCAGAACCACACGGGGGGACCTAGTGAATGACCTGCAGAGAGCTGGGACCAAAGTAACAAAGCCTACCATCAGTAACACACTACGCCGCCAGGGACTCAAATCCTGCAGTGCCAGACGTGTCCCCCTGCTTAAGCCAGTACATGTCCAGGCCCGTCTGAAGTTTGCTAGAGTGCATTTGGATGATCCAGAAGAGGATTGGGAGAATGTCATATGGTCAGATGAAACCAAAATATAACTTTTTGGTAAAAACTCAACTCGTCGTGCTTGGAGGACGAAGAATGCTGAGTTGCATCCAAAGAACACCATACCTACTGTGAAGCATGGGGGTGGAAACATCATGCTTTGGGGCTGTTTTTCTGCAAAGGGACCAGGACGACTGATCCGTGTAAAGGAAAGAATGAATGGGGCCATGTATCGTGAGATTTTGAGTAAAAACCTCCTTCCATCAGCAAGGGCATTGAAGATGAAACGTGGCTGGGTCTTTCAGCATGACAATGATCCCAAACACACCGCCCGGGCAACGAAGGAGTGGCTTCGTAAGAAGCATTTCAAGGTCCTGGAGTGGCCTAGCCAGTCTCCAGATCTCAACCCCATAGAAAATCTTTGGAGGGAGTTGAAAGTCCGTGTTGCCCAGCGACAGCCCCAAAACATCACTGCTCTAGAGGAGATCTGCATGGAGGAATGGGCCAAAATACCAGCAACAGTGTGTGAAAACCTTGTGAAGACTTACAGACATTTTTTTTGACCTGTGTTATTGCCAACAAAGGGTATATAACAAAGTATTGAGAAACTTTTGTTATTGACCAAATACTTATTTTCCACCTAATTTGCAAATAAATTCATTAAAAATCCTACAATGTGATTTTCTTGATTTTTTTTCCTCATTTTGTCTGTCATAGTTGACGTGTACCTATGATGAAAATTACAGGCCTCTCTCATCTTTTTAAGTGGGAGAACATGCACAATTGGTGGCTGACTAAATACTTTTTTTCCCCACTGTATATGTGTGTCTTTCGGAGTGGTTGGGTTAAAAGCGGACGTCAAATTTCTGTTGGACCTTGTGTGCAATTGACCAATAAAGTGAACTTAATCTTAATAAATACGAACATTACAAAGCTAAGCTGCCTGCATACACAAAATCTTCCTCCATCCTCCGTACATACAGGAGTGGATGAGTGTGTTGGTGACAGGGATAATCCACAGGCGTATCATACTCTCCTGGCCGCTAAAGCCCATAGAGCAGAGGATCAACTGGAATACAGGGGATGAAGTACAATACAGGGGCTAAGCTCGCCACCACGCCCCAGTCCAATCGGATATTACATAAGAAGGCTTAGCGTAGAAGACTGAGGTTCAGAGCTTCATTCGCTTTAACTATATCCGTAGGGCATATGATGTTCTCTGGATATGTAACTGTGCAGGATCAGCTCGATACAACTGAAGGCACCAGATGTGTGGTAGCTTCTCAAGCCACATGATCTCGCAAGCTTACATGGATGTTCGCTACATGGAAATAGTGCAGCGGTAATCGGTCTGGTAATTATGAGGCTAGATGTGTGGTGCAGGCAAATGATTCAAGACAAAATGCATTTCAAATGATTTCATGGCTACACAAAATTTGGATTTTGACCTTATCGATTACTGTAGACCAGAACAATTATTATGAACCTCGTTAATCACATCAGCAATATGCTAAGAGATCTTTAATTCAGCAAACCATGGATAGTACAGCAATATTGGACTACTGTCTGGTTACCCCCAACCTCAACCCTCCCCACCTTTTTTCCCCCTCCAGTCATTTCAATCGTGTGGGTTCGGATCCCGCTGCGGTCACCAGTTGTGTAAGGCAAGGATTTAGTAAAGGGTAGGACAACTTCTTTCTTCAATGGTGAAAGATCAATATCATAGAGGTAGATAGAGGGCGCACTTGGACCAAAGCCTGCTTTAGCATGGGCAGCACCCAGCAAGGGCAGCACCTTGGAGGTCTTTCACCATTTTGAAGTAGTCTACTGGGTGGGACTTGCTATGGGTTAACAAAGAATCACAGAATTCCATCCAGGTCAGCGACTTTATAGCTGTTCAGACTATACACACTCCAGCACAGTAGGTGGTGGTATGCACCTTTTTAGTATATTTACGAACTGCTAATACACTCATAGAAGTATAATAATAATACATTGACTATTTTAAAATGGAGATAGTCCCCAATGGTCCTGTCCATGCTGTCACAGAAGATGCCCCTTACAAAGTTAAAAGGTGTTCTATTTTTCCATATCTACGATAAATAAACAAACATGTAACCACTTCAATCACTAGCTCAAAGACCACCCTGAACCCAAATCCTCCCAACAAACTATTTAAGTATCCCACAGGGTGATTATACCCTCACCTGGCGAGGATTGGTAAGACATTTCTATCACCTTCTATATTTCTATATCTCCCTCTCCCATTCACCCTCGGTCTCTGTGTGATTGACAGCTCACACTTCAACCCTGTGGAACTTCCTCTGAGCCCCAGACATGAGCAGGCCATGCTCCTGCTGGAGAGGGCTCGGTTAAAAGCCCACTTCAATCACGCCAAAGGGGAACGCCCCCCAACCCGCCGCGCCCATTCTGCACAGAGATACAACCCGTAAGTCAGCTGTATCTGCTCCTCTGTTGATCTCTATCCCCCCCCTTCTGTTAGTCTGACTACCTGATACTCTGTGTGTCTGTCTGTTAGTCTGACTACCTGATGCTCTGTTTGTCTGTTTGTTAGTCTGACTACCTGATGCTCTGTCTGTCTGTCTGTTAGTCTGACTACCTGATGCTCTGTGTGTCTGTCTGTTTGTCTGACTACCTGATGCTTTGTCTGTCTGTTTGTCTGACTACCTGATGCTTTGTCTGTCTATCTGTCTGTATGTTAGTCTGACTACCTGATGCTCTGTCTGTCTGTTAGTCTGACTACCTGATGCTCTGTCTGTCTGTCTGTTATTCTGACTACCTGATGCTCTGTCTGTCTGTCTGTTAGTCTGACTACCTGATGATCTGTTTGTCTGTCTGTCTGTCTTTATACTGTATCAGTGTGCCTACCCCTTCCTACATCAAATCAAATTGTATTTGTCACATGCGCCGGATACAACAGGTGTAGACCTTACAGTGAAATGCTTACTTACAAGCCCTTAACCAACAATGCAGTTTTAAGAAAAATAAGTGTTAAGTAAACATTTTATAAATTAAAATTTAAAAATAATTAAAGAGCAGCGGTAAAGTAACAATAGCGAGGCTATATACAGGGGGTACCGGTACAGACTCAATGTGTGGGGCACAGGTTAGTCGAGGTAATTGAGGTAATATGTACATGTAGGTAGAGTGACTATGCATAGATAATAAACAGAGAGTAGCAGCAGCGTAAAGGGGGGGGGACAATGCAAATAGTCCGGGCAGCCATTTGATTAGCTGTTCAGAAGTCTTATGGCTTGGGGGTAGAAGCTGTTAAGAAGCCTTTTGGACCTAGACATGGCGCTCCGGTACCGCTTGCCGTGCGGTAGCAGAGAGAACAGTCTATGACTAGGGTGGCTGGAGTCTTTGACAATTTTAGGGCCTTCCTCTGACACCGCCTGGTATAGAGGTCCTGGATGGCAGGAAGCTTGGCCCCAGTGATGTACTGGGCCGTACACACTACTCTGTAGTGCCTTGCGGTCGGAGGCCGAGCAGTTGCCATACCAGGCAGTGATGCAACCAGTCAGGATGCTCTCGATGGTGCAGCTGTAGAACTATTTGAAGATCTGAGGACCCATGCCAAATATTTTCAGTCTCCTGAGGGCAATAGGCTTTGTTGTGCCCTCTTCACGACTGTCTTGGTGTGTTTGGACCATGATCATTTGTTGGTGATATGGACACCAAGGAACTTGAAGCTCTCAACCTGCTCAACTACAGCCCTGTCGATGAGAATGGGGGCATGCTCGGTCCTCTTTTTCCTGTAGTCCACAATCAGCTCCTCGGGGCGGCAGGTAGCTTAGTGGTTAAGAGCGTTGTGCCAGTAACCGAAAGGTCGCTGGTTCTAATCCCCGAGCCAACTAGGTGAAAAATCTGTCGATGTGCCCTTGAGCAAGGCACTTAACCCTAATTGCTCCTGTAAGTCGCTCTGGATAAGAGCGTCTGCTAAATAATGTAAATGTAAATGTATATGTTTGTCTTGATCACGTTGAGGGAGAGGTTGTTATCCTGGCACCACACGGCCAGGTCTCTGACCTCCTCCCTATAGGCTGTCTTGTCGGTGATCAGGCCTACCACTGTTGTGTCGTCGGCAAACTTAATGATGGTGTTGGAGTCGTGCCTGGCCATGCAGTCATGGGTGAACAGGGAGTAGAGGAGGGGACTGAGCACGCATCCCTGAGGGGCCCCCGTGTTGAGGATCAGCGTAGCGGATGTGTTGTTACCTACCCTCACCACCTGGGGGCGGCCCGTCAGGAAGTCCAGGATCCAGTTGCAGAGGGAGGTGTTTAGTCCCAGGGTCCTTAGCTTAGTGATGAGCTTTGAGGGCACTATGGTGTTGAACGCTGAGCTGTAGTCAATTAATAGCATTTTCACGTAGGTGTTCCTTTTGTCCAGGTGGGAAAGTGCAATGTGGAGTGCAATAGAGATTGCATCATCTGTGGATCTGTTGGGGCGGTATGGAAATTGGAGTGGGTCTAGGGTTTCTGTGATAATGGTGTTGATGTGAGCCATGACCAGCCTTTCAAAGCATTTCATTGCTACAGACGTGAGTGCTACGGGTCGGTAGTCATTTAGGCAGGTTACCTTAGTGTTCTTGGGCACAGGGACTATGGTGGTCTGCTTGAAACATGTTGGTATTACAGACTCAGTCAGGGACAGGTTGAAAATGTCAGTGAAGACACTTGCCAGTTGGTCAGTGCATGCTCGGAGTACACGTCCTGGTAATCCGTCTTGCCCTGCGGCCTTGTGAATGTTGACCTGTTTAAAGGTCTTACTCACATTGGCTAAGGAGAGCGTGATCACACAGTCATCCAGAACAGCTGAGTATAGAGTTATGGTCAGATTTGCCAAATGGAGGGCGAGGGAGAGCTTTGTATACGTCTCTGTGTGTGGAGTAAAGGTGGTCTAGAGTTTTCTTTCCTCTGGTTGCACATTTAACATGCTGGTTGAAATTAGGTAAAACGGATGTAAGTTTCCCTGCATTAAAGTCCCCGGCCACTAGGAGCGCCGCCTTTGGATGAGCGTTTTCCTGTTTGCTTATGGCCTTATACAGCTCATTGAGTGCGGTCTTAGTGCCAGCATCGATTTGTGGTGGTAAATAGACAGGTACGAAAAATATAGATTAAAACTCTCTTGGTAAATATTGTGGTCTACAGCTTATCATGAGATACTCTACCTCAGGTGAGCAAAACCTCGAGACCTCCTTAATATTAGATTTCGTGCACCAGCTGTTGTTTACAAATATACACAGACCGCCACCCCTTGTCTTACCGGAGGCAGCTGTTCTATCTTGCCGATGCAGCGTATACAGTGGGGAAAAAAAGTATTTAGTCAGCCACCAATTGTGCAAGTTCTCCCACTTAAAAAGATGAGAGAGGCCTGTAATTTTCATCATAGGTACACGTCAACTATGACAGACAAATTGAGAGAAAAAAATCCAGAAAATCACATTGTAGGATTTTTAATGAAGTTATTTGCAAATTATGGTGGAAAATAAGTATTTGGTCACCTACAAACAAGCAAGATTTCTGGCTCTCACAGACCTGTAACTTCTTCTTTAAGAGGCTCCTCTGTCCTCCACTCGTTACCTGTATTAATGGCACCTGTTTGAACTTGTTATCAGTATAAAAGACACCTGTCCACAACCTCAAACAGTCACACTCCAAACTCCACTATGGCCAAGACCAAAGAGCTGTCAAAGGACACCAGAAACAAAATTGTAGACCTGCACCAGGCTGGGAAGACTGAATCTGCAATAGGTAAGAAGCTTGGTTTGAAGAAATCAACTGTGGGAGCAATTATTAGGAAATGGAAGACATACAAGACCACTGATAATCTCCCTCGATCTGGGGCTCCACGCAAGATCTCACCCCGTGGGGTCAAAATGATCACAAGAACGGTGAGCAAAAATCCCAGAACCACACGGGGGGACCTAGTGAATGACCTGCAGAGAGCTGGGACCAAAGTAACAAAGCCTACCATCAGTAACACACTACGCCGCCAGGGACTCAAATCCTGCAGTGCCAGACGTGTCCCCCTGCTTAAGCCAGTACATGTCCAGGCCCGTCTGAAGTTTGCTAGAGTGCATTTGGATGATCCAGAAGAGGATTGGGAGAATGTCATATGGTCAGATGAAACCAAAATATAACTTTTTGGTAAAAAAGTCGTGTTTGGAGGACAAAGAATGCTGAGTTGCATCCAAAGAACACCATACCTACTGTGAAGCATGGGGGTGGAAACATCATGCTTTGGGGCTGTTTTTCTGCAAAGGGACCAGGACGACTGATCCGTGTAAAGGAAAGAATGAATGGGGCCATGTATCATGAGATTTTGAGTGAAAACCTCCTTCCATCAGCAAGGGCATTGAAGATGAAACGTGGCTGGGTCTTTCAGCATGACAATGATCCCAAACACACCGCCCGGGCAACGAAGGAGTGGCTTCGTAAGAAGCATTTCAAGGTCCTGGAGTGGCCTAGCCAGTCTCCAGATCTCAACCCCATAGAAAATCTTTGGAGGGAGTTGAAAGTCCGTGTTGCCCAGCGACAGCCCCAACACATCACTGCTCTAGAGGAGATCTGCATGGAGGAATGGGCCAAAATACCAGCAACAGTGTGTGAAAACCTTGTGAAGACTTACAGAAAACGTTTGACCTGTGTCATTGCCAACAAAGGGTATATAACAAAGTATTGAGAAACTTTTGTTATTGACCAAATACTTATTTTCCACCTAATTTGCAAATAAATTCATTATAAATCCTACAATGTGATTTTCTGGATTTTTTTCCCTCATTTTGTCTGTCATAGTTGACGTGTACCTATGATGAAAATTACAGGCCTCTCTCATCTTTATAAGTGGGAGAACTTGCACAATTGGTTGCTGACTAAATACTTTTTTTCCCCACTGTATCCCGCCAGCTGTATGTTATCCATGTCATCGTTCAGCCACAACTCGGTGAAACATAAGATATTACAGTTTTTAATGTCCCGTTGGTAGGATATCCGTGATCGTAGTTCATCTATTTTGTTATCCAATGATTGTACGTTGGCTAATAGGACTGATGGTAGAGGCAGATTACCCATTCGCCGTCGGATCCTTACAAGGCACCCCGACCTATGTCCCCGATATTTCCGTCTCTTTCTCATGCGAATGACGGGGATTTGGGCCTTGTCGGGTATCTGAAGAAAATCCTTCGCGTCCGACTCGTTAAAGAAAAAATCTTTGTCCAGTACGAGGTGAGTAATCTCTGCCCTGATATCCAGAAGCTCTTTTCGGTCATAAGAAACAGTGGCAGAAACATTATGTACAAAATAAGTTACAAATAACACGAAAAACACACACAATAGGTTAGGAGGCCGTAAAACGGCAGCCATGTCCTTCGGCACCATTCTTTCAGTTCTTCATTTCTCTCTCTGTCTTTTTCTTTCTGTGATTGAAAAAGCTGACATGGGGGCGGCAGGTAGCTTAGTGGTTAAGAGCGTTGTGCCAGTAACTGAAAGGTCGCTGGTTCTACTCCCCGAGCCGACTAGGTGAAAAATCTGTCGATGTGCCCTTGAGCAAGGCACTTAACCCTAATTGCTCATGTAAGTCGCTCTGGATAAGAGCGTCTGCTAAATGACTAAAATGTAAATGTAATTACATAACTACCAATGACTGATGGTTTCAGAATCTTATGTAACCATGTTTACCACACACACCATGATGTTTCATTTCTTGTAATGGGTATTTTGTTCATTAAATCTCCTCTTATATCAGTGGGATACATTCACAGCAAATGGTATTAGGAATACTGGCACTCATGAGAGAACACACACACTCTCAAACACACACACACACAGATTACTAATGTGCTTTCATGGATTTGTGTCAGCAGAAGTACTTGTATTTGTGTCTATGAAAATATGTACAGATAATGAAGTCTATTATTATTATTATTATTATTATTATTATATACAGTATTTAGTGTGTTTCCCTGTTCTATCCAGCAGGAGGCAGCAATCTGGGAGTGATTCACCACTGGTCCAAAAGGCTGTGGATTTTAAACCCAAGGAAGAGTTGACAGCCCCTCCCTCATCAGGCCCTCTCCTGCTCCCACAAAGCAAAGACCTCTCCCCTGGGGGGCGTAATCGTCGGTATGGTAACTCACCAACAAGGGTACGGTTTGAGGACGAATCAGAGAAGGAGGTGGAGTCTCGCTACCTGGATCGGGTGAGGGAACGTGTGCGGGCCACGGGACAGAAATCCAAGGGCACTCTGGAAAAGAAGGCGGAGTCTAGCATCAGCATTACTGTCCCGAACGCTGCTTCCACCCAGGTAATGGAGGTAGTGGTGGTGGTGAGGAAATGTGAAGCTTGTGGATCCATTCTTAGGGATCCTCCGGTGCCCGAACCAGAGACTGCTCCGCCCCAGCCCGGCAACGCGGAGGAGAATCAGGGCAGGAAGGTCCCTCGCTGGGTCCCCCCAGCCCAATCAGACGGGATCTCCCAACCAGACCAGCCCAGCAGTGTCCACCCCAAAGCGGCAGGGGTCACCTTCGGTGAGGTCCTGATTCTGGGAGAGGATACAGAGGGCGGGGCCGGGGGTGGAGTGGGGGAGAGGGCCTCCGGTTTCGGGAAGTTGAGGAGGCGCAGCAGGAAGGGAGAGAGCCGGCTGAAACGGGTGGGCTCGGGACATGGCCCCTATGGTGCCTCGTGGGCCCACCGTCGGAACTCCAACCCCAGAAACAGGGTCAACGTGTGCAGGCGAGCCGTCACCTTTGCTCTAGGCAGCCCTGTAGCTCTGGACCGCCCTCTGGTGGGAGACTCCGGAAACAGCAGCCCCAAGGATAGGGACGCCCCAACCCCGCAGCTGCCCATTAAGTCAGCTCTGAAGTCAGGCTCCAAGAGCAGGGTGAGTGGGCAGCGTGTGGTAAAGCTCCTGCCCTCGGTTCAGCATCGCCTCATCAACCTGGACGAGGAGGCAGGGGGAAGCCCTCAGTATGACCTCATCACCACAGAGCAGCATGGAGAGGGTCCTATCTCTGCCCCCTCAGGGTCTCCCCCTAGCTCCACCTTAGTCCCCTGCATCCGGCCGTCCTCCCTCAGGTACTCCCCTGCCAGGATCACCCCTGACCTCCCCCCTGCGGAACTCTGGGACACTGCTGCAGATGGAGCTGGTGAGTAGATAGTATGTATTGTGTTGGAAGGAAGTGTAGACTTGATGTGATGTGCCCACTCTATGCTTCTTTCAGTTACACACTTAAAATGTCTCTCTCTTCCAGGTCTGGCGCTGAGCGGAGACGTGTGTCGAGATCTGCTGGTGGCTCTTCCAGAGTGTCGCCCTGCCCTGCGCTGCTTGGGCGTGTCCCGAGCAGAGGACCTAAGGGCAGAGTTATTGAGAGCGGAGCACCTGAAGGCGGAGGCTCAGTGGGAGGATGGCCAAGAGGGGGCTCGGTCAGTATGGATCCCACCGCTGACACCAAATTCAAGTCAGACCCATATATATGTTTAATGTGGCTCTGGTTCCTTTAAATGGTGTGTTATTCTTAATCTATCTGACGGTGAGGAAAGACTGCCCTCTCTTGGCACTAAAGCATAAGTTCATGCTCCACAGTTAGTTCTATCAGAGGGAACTTCAAGAACTCTGTGATGGGGTGGATAAGTGTAACACTGTTAGCTACTCTGTGATAGATTGCATTAGTACATTTGGCACCATACAGTTTCTCTGTAATATATCTTGCAGGAATTTAACTATGCATTGTAATCCCTAGGTGACAGCAGGATTCAATAGAACATAAACCAATGTCACTCTTACAGCCTGGTTTTTTACATACAACTTACATGTTTTGCTCTGTCTGTATGTGTTGGTGACATGTGTAGGAGGTCTATGGCAGAGCGGGACGGCAGACCAAAGCTATCGCTGCGACGGTTCTTCTCCTCCATCGGGCTGCACAGTGTGGGCAGGCTGGTGAAGGGAGGGCGCTCCAGCAGCATGGAACAGCTCAGTATCTCAGCGCCCCGGGCCAGCTCCGCCTCACCCAGCCCCACCCACAGCCCTCACACCAACACCCGCCTGCAGAGGACCCCCTCACTACAGGCCCTGAACACAGTAAGCACCAGCCATTCAATTCAGTTCAGCTCTATTGAATCTAGTTCAATGTTTTCACTAACTAATTTGTCAAGAAACAGAATATGCCGCTTTACTTTTACACCATTCTTTAACATTTTCATGTTGAGATGCAATTTTGGCTGACATTGAAAATACAAAAGACTCTGGCTGAAATCTGGCTTGCCTACTACTGCATACTGTCTACTAATTTTTTTAGATTTACATTTTAGTAGACGTTCTTATCCAGAGCAATTAGGGTTAAGTGCCTTGCTCAAGGGCACATCGACAGATTTTTCACCTAGTCGGCTCGGGGATTAGAACCAGTGACCTTTCGGTTACTGGCACAACGCTCTTAACCACTAAGCTACCTGCTGCCCCTAATCTAACTACATGCAAATTAGAACGTATACTGTTTAGTAAAAACAAATGAATATCAGCATACTAGGCTCATCTTACTGGGAATGTGTAATTTATTGCACAATTGCGTTGATTCCCGCCAGTCGTTCATTTTGGTACAGCGCGTCACCTTCTCTGATTATCAGCTGTTGTCAGACACACGTGGGTCTCGAAAGACGATTCTCTTCCTCAACAGTGTGCAGCGAATTCTACTAGATGAAAAGCCAAAATGAGTATGACATCCTGGCATTTAAAGCATATTGAATTTTCGAAATTTCACCTACTATAAAACTGTATTTTTTCGAAAACCCCAAAATGCCTACTTTTTAGAACGCAAGTAAGGTATTCGGACACAGCCTTTGTCTGTGACTGTCAGGACTGAGGAGACAAAATCAACTGCACGGATGATGACACCTTGTTGCAATGTCCCTAATAAATATGAATCTCCTTCTCTGTCACCAGGTGTCCCCACTGGCCCAGCTTCGGAAAGCCTCCTCTGTGCAGAGTCTGGAGAGGAGAGTGGAGCGTTCGACCATTCTGAGAGAGGTGTCCGTGCCTAACAGCCTGGCACCCAGGTACAGTGTGTGTGTGTGTGCGTGTGTGTGTGTGTGTGTGTGTGTGTGTGTGTGTGTGTGTGTGTGTGTGTGTGTGTGTGTGTGTGTGTGTGTGTGTGTGTGTGTGTGTGTGTGTGTGTGTGTGTGTGTGTGTGTGTGTGTGTGCCAATTGTTCAGTTGGTTAAAAAAAACTGTCATGGAACAGAAATGTCATTCCAATCAACAAATTTCAGGACAACATAAGGAACATAACTACTAGGAATGTGAATACTGTAATCCTTATTGACACAACACTACAAATCCAAGCAGCTTTCCAAAAGCTCTTGAAGTGATGTCATCTAGACCGTATTTACACTAAGCAATGTTTGACTTGGCAAAATGCCTTATGTATATAAAAACAATATAGCTAGATTATTGTAAGAACCCATTTCCAATAGGAAACCGATTTTGACAAACTGCCACTAATCTCATGAAGGTAAATTACCCCGACTACATTTCACTGAAATGTCTCTATATACTATCTCTACAGGGTGATTCAGAAAGCCCTGAGCGTGGAAGATGTGTTAGCCCCTCGGGTGGTGCGTCCCGTGGGTCCAATGGGTCGGGTTGTCCAGGCCTTCCCTGATGGGACCCTCCGGTTGGAGCTCACCAGACCCCCTAACGGCCCTTTTGGGTTCGTCATCTCACGAGGCAAAGGTCGACCGGTCACAGGTATATTAAAGCACCTTTACTGTATAACTTGGTTCCTTTAGATGTAGCCTACATTTTAGTGTTGTGGATGTGAAGGTGTACAGTGCATTCGGAAAGTGTTCAGACGCATTTTGTTACGTTACAGCCTTATTCTAAAATGTATTAAATACCAAACATTTCCTCATCAATCTACACACAATATCCCATAATGACATAGCGAAAACAGATTTTTAGACATTTTTGCAAATGTATTTAAAATAAAAAACAGAAATACCTTATTTACATAAGTATTCAGACCCTTTCCTATTAGACTCGAAATTGAGCTCTGGTGCATCCTGTTTCCATTGATCATCCTTGAGATGTTTCTACAACTTGATTGGAGTCCACCTGTGGTAAATCCAATTGATTGGACATGATTTGATAAGGCACACACCTGTCTATATAAGATCCCACAGTTGACAGTGCATGTCAGAGCAAAAACCAAGCCATGAGGTCGAAGGAATTGTCTGTAGAGCTCCGAGACAGGATTGTGTCGAGGCACAGATCTGGGCAAGGGTACCAAAACATTTCTGCAGCATTGATGGTCCCCAAGAACACAGTGGCCTCCATCATTCTTAAATGGAAGAAGTTTGGAACCACCAAGACTCTTCCTAGAGCTGGCCACCCGGCCAAATTGAGCAATCGGGGGAGAAGGGCCTTGGTCAGGGAGGTGACCAAGAACCTGATGGTCACTCTGACAGAGCTCCAGAATTCCTCTGTGGAGATGGGAGAACCTTCCAGAAGGACAACAATCTCTGCAGCACTCCACCAATCAGGCCTTTATGGTAGAGTGGCCAGACGGAAGCCACTCCTCAGTAAAAGGCACATGACAGCTGCTTGGAGTTTGCCAAAAGGCACCTAAAGGACTCTCAGACCATGAGAAACAAGATTCTCTGGTCTGATGAAGCCAATATTGAACTCTTTGGCCTGAATGCCAAGCGTCACATCTGGAGGAAACCTGGCACCATCCCTACGGTGAACCATTGTGGTGGCAGCATCATGCTGTGGGGAGGTTTTTCAGCGGCAGGGACTGGGAGACTAGTCAAGATCGAGGGAAAGATGAACGGAGCAAAGTACTGAGAAAACCTGCTCCGGAGCACTCAGACTGGGGTGAAGGTTTACCTTCCAACAGGATAATGACCCTAAGCACACAGCCAAGATATTGCTGGAGTGGCTTCGGGAGAAGTCTCTGAATGTCCTTGAGTGGCCCAGCCAGAGCCCGGTCTTGAACCTGATCTAACATCTCTGGAGAGACCTGAAAATAGCTGTGCAGTGACGCTCCCCATCCAACCTGACAGAACTTGAGAGGATCTGCAGAGAAGAATGGGAGAAACTCCCCAAATACAGGTGTGCCAAGCTTAAGCTTGTAGTGTCATACACAATAAGACTCAAGGCTGTAATCGCTGCCAAAGGTCCTTCAACAAAGTACTGAGTAAAGGTTGTGAATACTTATGTAAATGTGATATTTCATTTTTTTTTATATATACACTACTAGATCTACTCATTCAAGGGTTTTTCTTTATTTTTACTATTTTCTACATTGTAGAATAATAGTGAAGACATCAAAACTATGAAATAACACATATGGAATAATGTGGTAACCAAAAAAGTGTTAAACAAATCAAAATAGATTTTAGATTCTTCAAAGTAGCCACACTTTGCCTTAGTTTAGTTTAGTGTATTAATTCAACCATTTAAAAAAACAAGCACACATAAAACTTTAAAACGCCATACATGCACATGAGTAAAATCATTGAGGATAACACACAATAAAGTCTGGGACTTATTTCCATTGTGGTCCTCTTGAAACAAGATGGCTGGGTAAGATCCAACACGGTTGAACACAGTATGACAACGAGATAATAAAAAATAAAAAAAAGAAGAAGAACATCTATCTCATCATTGCAGTTACATCATAGGGGTCATTCATATGGGCACAGAACACATCAAACAGTTTCTTTACTTCTTTTTTTAAGCTGCCCAGAGAGGACGTCGTTTTTATCTCATTCCACTCGGAGGCTCCAGTATACAAGAAAGTACCTTTCCCAGCATTACTCCTGAACCTGTATAAGCACACGTTAGCAACACCTGATCTGGTGCTGTGATTGTGTGCATCCATTAACACGGGGAAAGTAATCAGTTAGATATCTGGGCGCAGAACCATAAATACTCCTGTAAACCAAACCCAGTCTAATCTGGGACACCCTAGCCTCAACAGGCAGCCAGTTGCTGAAAGCAGCTCCTGCCTATGTGAGTACATGGACTCACCTTCAAAACTACCCTGATCAGCTTATTCTGGGCTATCTGGAGCTTCCCCTTCATAAGCTTAGATAAGCCCCCAAACCAGGAAGTAGTAGCGTAGTCAAAATGGCATTGAATGAGGGCAGTGGCTAGCACTCTCATGGAGTCCTTATCAAGCAGCTTGGACTTTCTAGCCAAAAACGTAGTCCTGACATTAACCTTCCCTAGCACTTTAGTGGCAATGCTCACACCTCCCAAGCTTCCATCAAGGATACATCCCAGGTAGCTAACAGAGGTTTTTGTAGTCAGCACCTCACCCCCTAACTCCAACAAGCATCTTTCATATCGTTAATATACAGTAAAAACAGTAGAGGCCCAAGCACACTCCCCTGCGGAGCGCCACAACTCATTGGTGTTTGTTGACATATTCATAAATTTACTAATGTACAGTGCCTTGCAAAAGTATTCATCCCCCTTGGCGTTTTTCCTATTTTGTTGCATTACAACCTGTAATTGGAATGGATTTGTATTTGTATGTCATGTATTGGACATACACAAAATAGTCAAAATTGGTGAAGTGAAATTAAAAAAGAAAAAAATTCCAAAAATTCTAAAAAAAAAAAAAAATAACGGAAAAGTGGTGCGTGCATCTGTATTCACCCCCTTTGCTATGAAGCCCCTAAATAAGGTCTAGTGCAACCAATTACCTTCAGAAGTCACATAATTAGTTAAATAAAGTCCACCTGTGTGCAATCTAAGTGTCACATGATCTCAGTATATATACACCTGTTCTGAAAGGCCCCAGATTCTGCAACACCACTAAGCAAGGGGCACCACCAAGCAAGCGGCACCATGAAGAACCAGGAGCTCTCCAAACAGGTCAGGGACAAAGTTGTGGAGAAGTACAGATCAGGGTTGGGTTATAAAAAAATATCAGAAACTGAACATCCCATGGAGCACCATTAAATCCATTATTTAAAAATGGAAAGAATATGGCACCACAACAAACCTGCCAAGAGAGGGCCACCCACCAAAACTCACGGACCAGGCAAGGAGGGCATTAATCAAAGAGGCAACAAAGAGACCAAAGATAAACCTGTAGGAGCTGCAAAGCTCCACAGCGGAGATTGGAGTATCTGTTCATAGGACCGCTTTAAGCCGTACACTCCACAGAGCTGGGCTTTACGGAAGAGTGGCCAGAAAAAAGCCATTGCTTAAAGAAAAAAATAAGCAAACCCATTTGGTGTTCGCAAAAGGCATGTGGGAGACTCCCCAAACATATGGAAGAAGGTACTCTGGTCAGATGAGACTAAAATTGTGCTTTTTGGCCATCAAGGAAAACGCTATGTCTGGATGTGTACATCACAATGGCACACATATACAATCAATGTCTCAAGGCTTACACATTTTTCTTTAACTTGTCTCCTCCCCTTCATAAACACTGTCTGAATTGGATTTAACAAGTGACATCAATAAGGGATCATAGCTTTCACCTGGTCAGTTTGTCATGGAAAGAGCAGGTGTTTTTAATGTTTTATACACTGTCAAACGCAGCATCAGCGTAAGAATATAATACATTTCTTAAATGTGTATATGTATACAGTACATTAACTAGCTGTCTTTTGAACTGTAGTAACCCTATTTCCATGATATAACCGAGATATCAGATGTACATTACATAAGGTTTCTGCCTGTACATAATGTACATTTTCAACATGTCCCTGACTGAGTCTGTAATACCAACATGTTTCAAGCAGACCACCATAGTCCCTGTGCTCAAGGACACTAAAATAACCTGCCTAAATTATTACCGACCCATAGCACTCACGTCTGCAGCCATGAAGTGCTTTGAAAGGCTGGTCATGGCTCACATCAACACCATTATCCCAGAAACCCTAGACCCACTCCAATTTGCATACCGCCCCAACAGATCCACAGATGATGCAATCTCTATTGCACTCCACACTGCCCTTTCCCACCTGGACAAGAGGAACACCTTCGTGAGAATGCGAGTCATTGACTACAGCTCAGCATTCAACACCATAGTGCCCTCAAAGCTCATCACTAAGCTAAGGACCCTGGGACTAAACACTTACCTCTGCAACTGGTACATGGACTTCCTGACAGGCCGCCCCCATGTCGTAAGGATAGGTAACAACACATCTGCCACGCTGATCCTCAACACGGGGGCCCCTCAGGGGTGCGTGCTTAGTCCCCTCCTGTACTCCCTGTTCACCCATGACTGCATGGCCAGGCTCGACTCCAACACCATCATTAAGTTTGCCGACGACACAACAGTGATAGGCCTGATCACCGACAATGATGAGACAGCCTATAGGGAGGAGGTCAGAGACTTGGCCGTGTGGTGCCAGGATAACAACCTCTCCCTCTACGTGATCAAGACAAAGGAGATGACTGTGGGGACTACAGGAACAAAAAGAGGACTGAGCACGCCCCCATTCTCATCGACGGAGCTGTAGTGGAACAGGTTGAGAGCTTCAAGTTCCTTGGTGTCCACATCACCAACAAACTATCATGGTCCAAACACACCAAGACAGTCGTGAAGAGGGCACGACAAAGCCTATTCCCCCTCAGGAGACTGAAAAGATTTGGCATGGGTCCTCAGATCCTCAAAAGGTTCTACAGCTGCACCATCGAGAGCATCCTGACTGGTTGCATCACCGCCTGGTATGGCAACTGCTCTGCCTCAGATTGCAAGGCACTACAGAGGGTAGTGCGTACGGCCCAGTACATCACTGGGGCCAAGCTTCCTGCCATCCAGGACCTCTATACCAGGCGGTGTCAGAGGAAGGCCCTAAAATTGTCAAAGACTCCAGCCACCCTAGTCATAGACTGTTCTCTCTGCTACCGCACAGCAAGCGGTACCGGAGCACCAAGTTTAGGTCCAAAAGCCTTCTTAACAGCTTCTACCCCCAAGCCATAAGACTTCTGAACAGCTAATCATGGCTACCCGGACTATTTGCACTGCCCCCCCACCCCACCCCATCCCCCTCTTTTACGCTGCTGCTGTCGTATAAATATTTGACTCAAAAGTAGTCAACTCAAAAATATCTCTCAAGAGACTGGAGCTTGTGATTCCAAAAATTTGACTTTATTATTTGCGTAACAAAGCCGAGCCACTCCATGGAACGGCTGTCTCTCTTTGGCTCAGAGATCTCTTTTATACACACACAAATGCACAGTCATGTGTACATAGCTTATACAGCTACTCCCCTTAAGATCACTGATTAACATCTTTAACTGCCACGCCACTATTATTTTTCAAAGTCCAACAACACATGTTGTTTACTCCAAAAGACCATGGGCGCTTTTGCCTCTTTCCCTTATCTCATTATATTGGTGGCGTGGCTCAGACACTTTAAAAAATAATATACATACATTAATTAACATTTACATTTACATTTTAGTCATTTAGCAGACGCTCTTATCCAGAGCGACTTACAGGAGCAATTAGGGTTAAGTGCCTTGCTCAAGGGCACATCGACAGATTTTTCACCTAGTTGGCTCGGGGATTAGAACCAGCGACCTTTCGGTTACTGGCACAACGCTCTTAACCACTAAGCTACCTGCCGCATGTTTACACACTGTATTGGCTATATTCCTTATTTAGACATGCATCTGGATTATAAAATGTCAATCATGTTTACTATATTTTACCTTTGACATTTCCCAACATTTTCCTTAGTGATACATAAAATATTACCATACTGCTTATTGTTTATTATTTATGCATAGTCACTTTAATTCTACCCACATGTACATATTACATCAATTACCTTGACTAGCCGGTGCCCCCTGCACATTGACACTGTACCGGTACCCCCCTGTATATAGCCTCTCTACTGTTATTTTATTTTACTGCTGCTCTTTAGTTATTTGCATTTATTTTTTACTTATCTATTTTTTACTTAACACTTTTTTTCTTTCTTTTTTCTTAAAAAAACTGCATTGTTGGTTAAGGGCTTGTAAGTAAGCATTTCACTGTAATGTCTACACCTGTTGTATTCGGCGCATGTGGCAAATAACATTTTATTTTATTTTATTTGCGTCTCACAAAGACACGGCGGTTGGAACCAAAAATCTCAAATTTGGACTCATCAGACCAAAGGACAGATTTCCACTGGTCTAATGTCCATTGCTTGTGTTTTTTGGCCCAAGCAAGTCTCTTCTTATTATTGGTGTCCTTTAGTAGTGGTTTCTTTGCAGCAATTCGACCATGAAGGCCTGATTCACACAGTCTCCTCTGAACAGTTGATGTTGAGATGTGTCTGTTACTTGAACTCTGTGAAGCATTTATTTGGACTGCAATTTCTGAGGCTGGTAACTCTAATGAACTTATCCTCTGCAGCAGAGGTAACTCTGGGTCTTCCTTTCCTGTGGCGGTCCTCATGAGAGCCAGTTTCATCATAGCGCTTGATGGTTTTTATGACTGCACTAGAAGAAACTTTTAAAATGTTCTTGAAATGTTCCGTAATGACTGACCTTCATGTCTTAAAGTAATGATGGACTGTCGTTTCTCTTTGTTTATTTGAGCTGTTCTTGCCATAATATGTACTTGGTCTTACCCCCCTACCTTGTCACAACACAACTGATTGGCTCAAACGCATTAAGAAGGAAAGAAATTTCACAAATTAACTTTTAATAAGGCACACCTGTTAATTGAAATGCAACCTCATGAAGTTCGTTGAGAGAATGCCAAGAGTGTGCAAAGCTGTCATCAAGGCAAAGGGTGGCTACTTTTAAGAATATAAAATATAAAATATATTTTGATTTGTTTAACACTTTTTGGGTTACTACATGATTCCATGTGTGTTATTTCATAGTTTTGATGTCTTCACTATTATTCTACAATGTAGAAAATAGGAAAAATAAAGAAAAACCTTTGAATGAGTAGGTGTGTCCAAACCTTTGACTGGTACTGGTATATAAATTAGCAAAGATTTCAAAAAAAATGTTTTTGCTTTGTCATTATGGGGTATTGTGTGTAGATTGATGAGTCCAAAAAAGTATTTCATCCATTTTAGAATAAGGCTGTAACGTAATTTTTTAGGGAAAAAGTCAGTGGGTCTGAATACTTTCAGAATGTAGTCATGGAACACCTAATTGCAGGGATTTTAGTTGGGTGGTTGAGAGGGCATTTTACCAGAGTGTGTAATGACATACTATTTAATGATTTTAAGTTGACATATTCTTAGTGTTTGTGCACCGTTACTTATTGTGCCCTCTATTCTCTCTCTCTCTCGCTCTCTCTCGCTCGCTCTCCCCATTTATCTCCCTCCATCTCTCTCTCTTTCTATCTCCCTCTTGGTCCTTCCCCCACCCCTCTGTCTTGTCTCAGGTGTGTACGTGGAGCAGGTAGGGGACGGTACTGAGGAGGGCCTGTACTCTGGGCTCCTGGGTGTTGGGGATGAGATCCTGGAGGTGAATGGGGAGGCGGTGGTCGGACTGACCCTGGATCTGGTGACACGCCTCATGACCCGCGACAGCACCGCCTCTATCCGGGTCCTGCCACACCGTCGGAACCATCGCTGAGCAACACCACAATGGAATATTCCATTATCCATTTCAATGAAAAAACATACTGGATACTGCGCCATGATGATGTCATGACGAAAACATGAGAATGGAAATAGGCATAAAGATACATTTTTAACTCAGGGAGAACCAAAGGAAGGACATAATACATATCCTTATGCTTGTCTATTATTAGGCCTAGTCATTGAAGATTCAGGCAACTTTTTGTGAATCAAATCTGTTGTCAGATAAAACAAAGTATAAAGAAAATGTTGCACTGAAGATGCAAGTGAGATGATCTGCAGTGCCTTCAGAAAGTATTTATACCCCTTCTTATTCCACATTCCACAGCCTAAATTAAAAATGGATTAAATTGATTTGATTTTCTCACCCATCTACAAATGTTTGCAAATGTATTGAAAATGAAATACAGAAATATCTTATTTACGTAAGTATTCACACCCCTGAGTCAATATTCAGTGAGGGAAAAAAGTATTTGATCCCCTGCTGATTTTGTACGTTTGCCCACTGACAAAGACATGATCAGTCTATAATTTTAATGGTAGGTTAATTTGAACAGTGAGAGACAGAATAACAACAAAAAAATCCAGAAAAACGCATGTCAAAAATGTTATAAATTGATTTGCATTTTACTGAGGGAAATAAGTATTTGACCCCTCTGCAAAACATGACTTAGTACTTGGTGGCAAAACCTTTGTTGGCAATCACAGAGGTCAGACGTTTCTTGTAGTTGGCCACCAGGTTTGCACACATCTCAGGAGGGATTTTGTTCTACTCCTCTTTGCAGATCTTCTCCAAGTCATTAAGGTTTTGAGGCTGATGTTTGGCAACTCGAACCTTCAGCTCCCTCCACAGATTTTCTATGGGATTAAGGTCTGGAGACTGGCTAGGCCCACTCCAGGACCTTAATGTGCTTCTTCTTGAGCCACTCCTTTGTTGCCTTGGCCGTGTGTTTTGGGTCATTGTCATGTTGGAATACCCATCCACAACCCATTTTCAATGCCCTGGCTGAGGGAAGGAGGTTCTCACCCAAGATTTGACGGTACATGGCCACGTCCATCGTCCCTTTGATACGGTGAAGTTGTCCTGTCCTCTTAGCAGAAAAACACCCCCAAAGCATAATGTTTCCACCTCCATGTTTGACGGTGTGCATGGGGTTCTTGGGGTCATAGGCAGCATTCCTCCTCCTCCAAACACGGCGAGTTGAGTTGATGCCAAAGAGCTCGATTTTGGTCTCATCTGAACACAACACTTTCACCCAGTTCTCCTCTGAATCATTCAGATGTTCATTGGCAAACTTCAGATGGGCCTGTATATGTGCTTTCTTGAGCAGGGGGACCTTGCGGGCGCTGCAGGATTTCAGTCCTTCACGGCGTAGTGTGTTACCAATTGTTTTCTTGGTGACTATGGTCCCAGCTGCCTTGAGATCATTGACAAGATCCTCCCATGTAGTTCTGGGCTGATTCCTCACCGTTCTCATGATCATTGCAACTCCACGATGTGAGATCTTGCATGGAGCCCCAGGCCGAGGGAGATTGACAGTTATTTTGTGTTTCTTCCATTTGCGAATAATCGCACCAACTGTTGTCACCTTCTCACCAAGCTGCTTGGCGATGGTCTTGTAGCCCATTCCAGGCTTGTGTAGGTCTACAATCTTGACCTTGACATCCTTGGAGAGCTCTTTGGTCTTAGCCATGGTGGAGAGTTTGGAATCTGATTTATTGATTGCTTCTGTGGACAGGTGTCTTTTATACAGGTAATAAACTGAGATTAGGAGCACTCCCTTTAAGAGTGTGCTCCTAATCTCAGCTCGTTACCTGTATAAAAAGACACCTGGGAGCCAGAAATCTTTCTGATTGAGAGGGGGTCAAATACTTATTTCCCTCATTAAAATGCAAATCAATTTATAACATTTGTGTCTCTCACTGTTCAAATAAACCTACCATTAAAATTATAGACTGATAATTTCTTTGTCAGTGGGCAAACGTACAAAATCAGCAGGGGATCAAATACTTTTTTATCTCACTGTATGTTAAAATCACCTTTGGCATTGATTACAGCTGTGTGTCTTTCTGAGTAAGGCTCTAAGAGCTTTTCACACCTGGATTGTACAATACAAAAATTATTTAAGCTCTGTCAAGTTGGCTGTTGATCATTGCTAGACATTTTCAAGTATTGCCATCAAAACTGTAACTAAGCCACTCAGGAACATTCACTGTTGTCTTGGTAAGCAACTTGGTAAATATATAGCCTTATGGTTTAGGTTATTGACCTGCTGAAAGGTGAATTTGTCTCTCAGTGCCTGTTGTAAAGCAGACTGAACCAGGTTTTTCTCCTGTACTTAGCTCGATTCCGTTTATTTTTATTCAAAACAACTCCCTAGTCCTTGCCGATGACAAGCATACCCATAACATGATGCAGCCACCACTATGCTAGAAAATATGAAGTGATGTGTTGTGTTGGATTTGCCCCGAACATAACTCTTTCTATTCAGGACATAAAGTTAATTTCTTTGCAACATTTCTGCCAGTTTTACTTTAGTGCCTTATTGCAAAAAAGATGGATGTTTTGGGATATTTTTATTCTGTACAGGCTTCCTTCTTTTCACACTGTCAATTATGTTAGTATTGTGGAGTAACTACAATATTGTTGATCCAGCCTCAGTTTTCTCCTATCCCAGCCATTAAACTCTGTAACTGTTTTAAAGTCACCCTTGGCCTCCTGGTGAAATCCCTGAGCAGTTTCCTTCCTCTCCAGCAACTGAGTAAGGAAGGACGCCTGTATCTTTGTAGTGACTGGGTGTATTGATACACCATCCAAAGTTAAATTAATAACTTCACCATGCTCAAAGGAATATTCAATGTCAGCTTTTTTTTTTTTACCCATCTACCAATAGGTGCCCCTCTTTGTGAGGCATTTGAAAACCTCCCTGGTCTTTGTGGTTGAATTTGTGTTTGAAATGAATTGCTTGACTGAGGGACCTAACAGATAATTGTATGTGTGGGGTACAGAGATGAGGTAGTCATTCAAAAATCATGTTAACGCTATTATTGCACACAGAGTGAGTACATGCAACTTATTATGCGACTTGTTAAGCACATTTTTACTCCTAAACTTATTTAGGCTTGCCATGACAAAAGGGTTGAATACTTATTGACTCAAGACATTTCAGCTTTTAATTTTGTATTATGGGGTATTGTGTGTAGGCCAGTGACACCAAATCTCAATATAACCCATTTTAAATGTAGGCTGTAACACAACAAAATGTGGAAAAAGTTAAGGGTGTGAATACTTTCTGAAGGCTCTGTAAATAAAGACTGTATAATGATTATTGTGTGTTTCACAATAAACAGCCTATTGTGTCAAAGGTGATAATGAACTCTGTTTATTATGAAATACCAGTTGCCTTGCACTCACTATATGCACATTAGGGCCTAATATTAGGTAACTACACAATTTCTGTGCAACCCACTAGTCTACCTTTCCCCACCACAAAGCCTACCTTGTCATAACATTTTTTTTTTTTTTTTTTTTTTAGTCATTTAGCAGACGCTCTTATCCAGAGCGATTTACAGGAGCAATTACGGTTAAGTGCCTTGCTCAAGGGCACGTCGGGGATTAGAACCAGCGACCTTTCGGTTACTGGCACTACGCTCTTAACCACTAAGCTACCTGAAGCGAATCAAATTGCAAACTTTGTTGAAAAAGCTCATTCATAGCAGGTCTACTACCAATGTGGGAGAAAAAAATTATCTAAAGTTATTCAACACTTAGCCTTCATATGTTATAATTTTTTTGGTGTGTGGCAGTGTCTCATTCTGCAATCACTTTATTTATTTAATGAAATTAGTTGGGAAATAGGCTGTTTGTTTTTCTCTTTTTGTAGCCACAGTATTCTCAGTCTGCTTCACCAGGATGTAGGATGCTTGTCGTGACCAGTGACCTAAAAGCACGTGATATGTCGGTCGTGACAGTCGACTTTACCTCAGATGATCGGACAAACTAGGCTGAAAAACTGAAAAATACCTGACCATGTAGCCTATTCTAAGGAAACCCTTACGCCAGCGTTTCCCAAACTCGGTCCTCGGGACCTCAAGGGGTGCACATTTTGGTTTTTGCCCTAACACTACACAGTATCAAAACTCTTCCACAGTAGTATAGACTCGTGCTTCCTTGCCAAAAGGAGGCTATCGAAGAGGGGAGGGCTGCCTTCCGTTTGCCTACTAATTAATTTACACACTCCTCGACCACTGACCACTTCCGGGTCACGGAGGAGAGAGGCCAGAGGACAGAGGATAGAGGACCTAGGCCGGACTTTTATCTAAACGAGAAACCCCCTATATGTCCTCCAGTGATGGCGCTTCACTGCTGATTTCTCCATTCACTAATCCGCCGAATGGGGCTGATATGGGTTTATCTCTCTCACCCATGTCGCCCCCGGGGGACCCCCGCTAAATTTGCCATGAATCCCAGGCCTGGCCACCCCATACATAGGCTACATAAAACAATGACAGTAAACAATTCCTTCCAGTAGGCCTATCAGAAGTCCTTTGATATTGGATCCATTTGTACATTCAACATAGACAATAATTTAGCAAAGTATTGTTGTTTATTAACGAATAGAATAGAGTAGAATAGAGATTAGACCTACATTCAACTGAAATGTATATTAATATAATGATTATCATTATGATATGTTAATCATTATGATTATATGGCTATTATTATTATATGGCTATTATAATCAGGCTTATACTATAAGTTATAGAGTTATTTAGCCTAATGTTGATTGGCCATTAAGCCTTATGTTTGTTTGTTTTCCAGGAAAAAAAAATTGTATCAGAAAAATGTAACCACCTCGATTAACCTTTAGCCTATTCCTCGCATAGTTGTAGTTACTGGAGTTGCATCCATATATTTTTATGCTTTGCCCTCCACAAGCCTATATAGCCTACGACAGCCAAATAATAATGACTCATTTAATAAATAATGGGTTTAGGGGCTTATCGGGAACGAAGAGGCCGCTACCGTGCGCTTATCTCGCCTGACCACATTGCGCTCTTGTTCCGCTCCACAAACTGAGCGGGCGCGCTTTACGCAATGAGGAATAACTCAAACCTCACTTCCAGTTCCACACTGCACTTCACCCGCACAACAAAAAAAACTCAGACATGGATGACCCTCTCACAAAATGGCTCCACTTTCACACTAACATCAACATCACGTCGGGAACGGTGAGCATGTAGAATTCATCTATATTTCATTATCCATGCCTGCTTTGCACGCGAATTATTTTGAATTACAATTAGGAGTGTGTTTGAAGTGCTTTTTCGTTATTGTTCGTTCCTTGGACACTTTGGAATCGATTAGGAACGTAATAGGGCCTATTATTTTTCTCGATTAAAAAAATAAAACACACAATTATAGGTTCATTAGCCTAGGCCTAAATAATGATGTGGCTATTGGTTAAAACTGTTTTTTTTGTGCCTATTTTAATGACTGTATGGATAGGAATATTTATTGTCATTGTTTCATTGACAATGATAGGTTGTATTATTAGCCTACAGTTAAAAATGATTGCCTTGTGATTTCTTCGTTGTTTTGAGTTATGGCAGCCTACACACTCCAATATTACATCATCTAGGCCTATAGAACAAGAAAGGGAAGAAAAAATGAATCCAAAATTCGAACAAAAGCTCGGTTATGTCAACCTTTGTTCCAAATGTCTGATGCAATTTCTAATCGAAGTGACTGTCTATTGGATCTTAGGCTATTGCTTAAACCATGGGAGAATTAAAAAAAAATCATTATAGAGAAATAAAACCCATTATAGAGTCGTTGTAAAGGCCTTTTGATTCGTTTTTTTTTAATCAGTTAAATACGTTACCAATTAAGAATCATATTCACTTGTTCTCTTGTTAAACATAAATGAATTCACATGATCAAATTAAATAGGCATATAAAAATGAATAATTTCAAGAACAAATCGGCTATTGAACGTTTATGCTCACAATTCTAGTGGCCTACCTTGCAACAACAACAAAAAACGTTAGAGGATTTGAATAAAAGGTCATGTAAAAAAAAAAAACATCAACACCAATTGCCATTTCAAATGCCACATTGAATGCTTGCTCCATAGGCCTAGGTCAGGTTGTTGTTGACATGAGAATAATACACGTGTGAAACCCCAGTTGTTTGAGGGGGAAAGGACTTCGATGAACAACACAAACGATTGACCATCAAAAGCAGTTAATTCAATACTGTTTTTGACTGACCTCTCATAATGTAGGCACCTTGTGCTATTCATATTCTTTGTAGGCCTATTCGTTATTCGCATTTAATGTATTTCTTATTCTTTGAATATTTTTAAATGTGGTACACTCAAACATGTCCATAGGTATTTGGTGAATTAATTTCAAGAAGTAGAACTAGCCAATTTTTTCATAATAGCAAACCCTTCGCTGAGCCTTCTAGGACTTATTTACTGGCTAATCCAAAATGTGGAAAATAAGTAACTCGACCATAGCCTACAAAATAACATGGCAACGTGTTGGTGATGACTATTTGGCACATTGATGAGGCTATTTTTCTACTGCACTGTTGGAGCTAGGAACACAAGCATTTCGTTACACCCGCAATAACATCTGCTAAATATGTGTATGTGACCAATAACATTTGATTTGATTTGATTTGACATGCACCACCCGTTCTGAATCGAAAACATGTTAAAATTTGATGTGCAGATGCCTGCATTTTAGGGGTTATTTTCTTGCTAATTTCTAGGCTATACGAAATCAACACATTCTCACTTTAAAATGTGGGGCTTTATACCCGTATACACACGACCCTCCAAGTGATGAAATGATGGGGAAAAGTCTAGAATCTGAATCTGACCGGAAGAATCCCCCCCAAAAAAATGTTTAGGCTATGGCATGTGTCTATTTACGAAACGTTTTTCTGCCCCATAGTGTGGTGTTTTCGACAGCTGATTTATGGAAAGGCAGGATATAACTGCAACGTGATGAAATTATGGAAAAAATGAAGCCGGAGCTTTGTCCTGTAAGTCCCGGTGCCAAATCGTGCAGCTCACTGAAGCAGGATTCCATCATCAGGGAGAATGGATGCAAAGACCTGGAGGACTCGAAGAAGGGGAACTTCCCTGGGGAGGGGGTTAAGACAGATGACGCGCCTCTGCGGGACCCGCGCAACCGGACCATCATCCTCAACGGTGTTGCCAAGGAAACCGCTTACGACGCTTTTGACCTGAAAAGGGAAGTACCAGTAATCGATCTCTCGAGGAGAGACGATATAAAGGCGGGACAGCAGAGAACGGACAGTCACACAGTACCCATCACGGAGCTTCGCAGACCACCCGTGCCATTGCCGCTGCCGCACCGAGACGCGCTGAACGACGCTCGAATGGTTCAGCTGAGCCCAAACGCGTTCCCTCTCCCGGCGCGAGCGATGCTCTACAACTTGGCGCAACCTCTCGCCGCAATCAACAGGTAAAATATAATAAAACATAAAATAGCCTAGCCTTTAAGCATTTGAAACAAATGTTATGTTTTACTGAAAGTTGTATTTCCTCCTAAAGCATATAGTCTATATTATAGCCCATACGTTATTCATCTTCATTTATTTTTAAGGTAGAATACTTATATGTTGCCTATTAGGTCTACTGATAGGCATACATCAACTCATGTAGTAGCTTGTTATCTAGGCTATTGGCTTAATCTACCTTCACAGGGGTATCTGTCAGTGCCTTTACCTCTAGGCTACCTGTGTTGATTAATTGCAGTCTTTTCCTTGATTAATTTGAATGTGGAGGATTTCAGGTTAGTCTACTTGTGCCTATACTCACACATACTTTATGTGTTTTGGTTGTGAGTTGTAAGTATGGACACAGAGACCATCTGTGGTCCTCTGTAGCTCAGTTGCTAGAGCATGGCGCTTGCTACGCCAGGATAGTGGGTTCGATTTCCAGGACCACCCATCCTTAAAATGTATGCATGCATGACTTTAAGTCGCTTTGGATAAAATCCTCTGCTAAATGGCATATATTATAGAGCAGGACTGCCCAACACTGTTCCTGGAGAGCTACCGTCCTGTAGGTTTTTGCTCCAACCCTAATCTAGCACACCTGATTCTAATAATTAGCAGGTTGATAAGATAAATCAGGTTAGTAACACCTGGGTTGGAGCGAAAATCTCTCCAGGAACAGGGTTGGGCAACCCTGTTATAAAGACTATAATTAGGCTATCACTTTCATGAAATATTTTGTTATTGCTTCATACTTCTAATTGGTGAGCTGTTATAGCCTATATGTGCCTGTGTGTAAATAGTATGTGTGTATGGTCATGTGTGTAGCTGTGCCTCATATATTTTCCCTGTCACTAGTCTTGGAGGGGAGTCGGAACAGTACTGCATGTACCCCAGCAACAGGGTAAAGCACCGTCCTGCGCCTTACGAGGTTGAGCTCGACGAGGGTAGGCGCATTTTAGATCTTTATAAGTATGGTAAAACGCACCTCTGCTGTGCCCACCTTCTGCTTACAGTCTTCTCCTCAATCCTCTCCTCATCCCAACATCATCCCATTCCATTTATCCCCTGGCATGGCTGTAACATGGGCAGGTATTTAATAAAATAGGCTACTGACCACCAACTTATAGAGAACTCCTAAACCTAATCCTGTGATGTCTATGGTTTTAGCTTCTTAGAGAAACATAATATATTGCATCTCATTTTCTCTATCTCCCACTCACAGTCAAATGCAGGCGTAGCATAAAGGGAGGGTGGAGGGAGTTAGCTGCTGCCATGCCAAGGCTTTGCTGCATAGTAAACTGGAGGATAAGGGAGACCGGGTATGTTCCAGGAGCTTGGCATGCACCAACGGGATATTACATTTCTCAAATGCATTCCACAGTTTCTGACGTAAGCCGCAGGTATTGTGGATCGGCTTTATGTACCAATATATAAAAAACTACTTTGGAAAATACACTACATGACCAAAAGTATGTGGACACCTGTTCGTCGAACATCTCATTTCAAAATCATAGGCATTAATATGGAGTTGGTCCCCCCTTTGCTGCTACAACAGCCTCCACTCTTCTGGGAAGGCTTTCCACTAGATGTTGGAACGTTGCTGCGGGGACTTGCTTCCATTCAGCCACAAGAGCATTAGTGAGGTCGGGCACTGATGTTGGGCGATTAGGCCTGGCTCGCAGTCGGCGTTCAAATTCATCCCAAAGGTGTTCGATGGGGTTGAGGTCAGGGCTCTGTGCAGGCCAGTCAAGTTCTTCCACACCAATCTCGACAAACCATTTCTGTATGGACCTCACTTTATGCACAGGGGCATTGTCATGCTGAAACAGGAAAGGGCCTTCCCCAAACTGTTGCCACGAAGTTGGAAGCACAGAATCGTCTAGAATGTCATTGTATGCTGTAGCGTTAAGATTTCCCTTCACTGGAACTAAGGGGCCTAGCCCGAACCATGAAAAACAGCCCCAGACCATTATTTATCCTCCACAAAACTTTATAGTTGGCAGTATGCATTGGGGCAGGTAGCATTACCCTGGCATCTGCCAAACCCAGATTCGTCCGTCGGACTGCCAGATGGTGAAGCGTGATTCATCACTCCAGAGAATGTGTTTCCAGAGTCCAATGGCGGCAAGCTTTACATCACCCCAGCCGACGCTTGGCATTGCGCATGGTGAGCTTAGGCTTGTGTGCGGCTGCTCGGCCATAGAAACCCATTTCATGAAGCTCCCGACGAACAGTTATTGTGCTGACGTTGCTTCCAGAGGCAGTTTGGAACTCAATAGTGAGTGTTGCAACCGAGGACAGATGATTTCAGCACTTCAGCACTCGGCGGTCCCGTTCTGTGAGTTGTGTGGCCTACCACTTCGCGGCTGAGCCGTTGTTGCTCCTAGACGTTTCCACTACACAATAACAGCACTTACAGTTGACTGGGGCAGCTCTAGCAGGGCAGACATTTGACGAACTGACTTGTTGGGAAGGTGGCCTCCTTTGACGGTGCCACGTTGACACTCACTGAGCTCTTCAGTAAGGCCATTCTACTGCCAATGTTTGTCAATGGAGATTAAATGGCTGTGTGCTTGATTTTACACACCTGTCAGCAACGGGTGTGGCTGAAATAGCCAAATCCACTAATTTGAAGGGGTATATACTTTTGTATATATAGTGTATTGTCATGGGCCTCTCACTCCACCGGGTTACCACCTTAATTTTCTTCCACTCTGCTCACCACTCTCTCTACTCAGCCTAACTAGCTCCACCTGTCCCTGCTCTGCTCTGCTCTAATTACTCTGCCAGCTGCGCTGCATTACCCACTACCTCTCCCAGTATTTAAGGCCCTGTCTTTCAGCTCTCCGGTGTCAGATCGTCTGCAAAGCTCACACCCGGAACCTGTTTGCTCGCGCTTCTGGCTCACCCTGGTTTTGTGACCCCGGACCTGCCTGTTTTTTGGATACTCTTCTGCCTCAGGAGATCCAGACCTGCTTCTGCCATTACGACTCCTGACTACTCTTCAATCCCGGACTTCTGGACCACCCACCACCGGCTTCATAGGACGCATCGCTGCCACTGGGGGGGGGCACAGACCCAGCACATTGGACGGGACCCCTGTTACCCCTGGAGCCTTCATTCACTCCCTACTTCCCTTTTCCCTTAAGTTTAATAAACTTTCTGGTGTGACGCAATTGTGGTCCTCTGGTCGTCTGTCTGAACCGTGACAGTACGATCTGACCATTATGGACTCAGCGCACACTTTCCCCGACATGGAAACCGATGAGCATGAGCAGCAGTTCCAGCAGCAGCAACAACAACTCGCCATGATCATTCAACTCCTCACCAACCTTACCCCAGCCAGTCTGCCCACCAGCCCTGCCCCCGAGTTACCTGCCCCGGTCATTGCAGCCGCTGCTCCGGAACCCAAGATTGGAAACCCCGAGCGGTTCAACGGCGATTCAACCCAGGTCCGGCCATTCCTGACTAGCTGCCGACTTCAGTTCTCCTTGCAGCCAAGGACCTTCGCCACGGAGGGGGCTAAAGTTGGGTATGCCATCACTCACCTGACGGGCCGAGCTCGACTCTGGGGAACAGCAGAGTTCGAACGTCAAACCCCCGCATGTGCAACCTTCGACCTGTTTGCTGAGGAGATGCTGAAGGTGTTTGACCTGGATTCACCCACCGCAGAGGCGTCTCGTGAACTGTTCAGTATTCGACAAGGCAGACGTACAGTCGCAGACCATTCCATCGACTTCCGAACCCTGGCTAGACGAAGTTCTTGGAACACACCATCGTTGGTGGACGCGTTCTTCCATAGTTTGGCTGACTATATCAAGGACGAGTTGGTCTCCCATGAACTGCCTTCCACTCTTGATGAAGCCATCGCACTGACTGTCAGGATCGACAGAAGGATACAGACCCGTCGTCGTGAGAGGGGGCGCCAAGGTCCACCTACTACCGGCATTCGGAGAGATCCGACTGGGCTCCTGTCATCTACTGCCACTCACCCAGGTCAGCTTGATCAGTCTGAGCCTATGGAGATTGGGCGAGCCTCTCTCACTCCTGCAGAGCGCCAGCGCCGCTTCACCTCAAACCTCTGCCTCTATTGTGGAGGTGATGGACATCGTGTGGTAACCTGCCCTTTAAAGGGCCGAAGCTCACCGGGCATAGGGGGAGTCCGGTTGAGTTCAATGACCATCCAGTCCTCCGACCGCAAACCCCTGCTGCAAGTTCACCTCCGCCTCTCTGACTCAACTCACACCCTGGCTGCTCTGGTGGATTCTGGCGCCGAAGCCAACATAATGGACATCAAGCTGGCACGCCAACTGGGACTGGAGAACCTCCGTTTGACACCTCCTATTCCTGCCCGGGCACTGGACGGACACTTACTCGGATCGGTCACTCATGTCACGGCCCCGGTCTCGATGGGTCTGTCCGGAAACCATCAAGAAACTATCCAGTTTCACCTGCTCCCCTCTCCAGGCCAACCCCTCATCCTGGGTTACCCATGGCTCCGCCGGCACAACCCTCAGCTCGACTGGGTGACCGGGGTGATCAGGGAGTGGGGAGAGGACTGCCACCGAACCTGCCTGCTTGCTGCCGCACTACCCCCTCGGCCAGTACCTACTAACTCCGCTCCTGACCTCTCCAATGTCCCAGAATGCTACCATGGTCTCAGAGAGGTGTTTAACAAAGCAAGAGCCACATCTCTGCCCCCTCACCGACCGTACGACTGTGCCATCGACCTCCTCCCTGGAACAGCTCCTCCAAAGGGTCGTCTTTATTCGTTGTCTGCTCCTGAAAGAAAGTCCATGGAGGACTACATCAATGGCTCTCTGTCCGCAGGATTAATCCGTTCATCTTCATCTCCTGCTGGTGCTGGCTTCTTCTTTGTGGGGAAGAAGGACGGATCTCTTCGCCCCTGCATCGACTACAGGGGACTCAACGACATCACAGTGAAAAACCGTTACCCTCTGCCTCTGCTCACCTCTGCTTTTGAGTTGCTCCAGGGAGCCACTGTTTTTACCAAGTTGGATCTCAGAAACGCTTACCACCTAGTGCGGATCCGGGAGGGAGATGAATAGAAAACCGCATTCAATACACCAACAGGCCACTACGAGTATCTGGTTATGCCTTTTGGCCTCACCAATGCTCCTGCTGTGTTCCAGGCTCTAGTGAATGATGTACTGCGGGACATGTTAAACAAGTTTGTCTTCGTTTACCTGGATGACATCTTAATCTACTCCAGAAACCTGTCTGAACACACCCGCCATGTCCAGCAAGTCCTTCATCGTCTTCTGGAGAATTCCCTCTACGCCAAGGCAGAGAAATGTGAGTTTCACGTCAAGACAGTGGCCTTCCTGGGGTACATAGTGGCAGAGGGAAGTATCCAAATGGATCCTGCCAAAGTATCAGCAGTCACTTCATGGCCAGTTCCGGAGAACAGAAAGAAGCTGCAACAGTTTCTGGGGTTTGCTAACTTCTATAGGAAGTTTATCCGGAACTACAGTACCGTTGCTGCCCCTCTCACTGCTCTAACCAGCACCAAGCAACCCTTCACCTGGACCCCAGCAGCCGACAAAGCCTTCAGTACCCTCAAGGTGAGGTTCACCTCCGCTCCCATCCTCCAGATGCCTGATGTGGACCGGCAATTCATTGTGGAGGTGGACGCCTCGGATGTGGGAGTTGGTGCTGTGATTTCTCAGTGGGCTGCGGAGGATAGGAAGCTCCATCCCTGTGCCTTTTTCTCACGTCGGTTGTCCCCCTCTGAGTGCAATTACGACATAGGGAACCGTGAGCTGCTGGCTGTGAAGCTTGCCTTGGAGGAGTGGCGTCACTGGCTGGAGGGGTCCACCATTCCATTTCTCGTTTGGACCGATCATAAGAACTTGGAGTACATCCGCACGGCCAAACGGTTGAACTCCAGGCAGTCCCGCTGGGCCCTGTTCTTCACCAGGTTTAATTTCACTCTGTCATACCGGCCTGGATCACGCAACACCAAGCCAGACGCCCTCTCCCGTCAATTCCAGAAGGATGACACCCCCTCCAAGGACCCTGTGTCGATTCTGCCAAGTCCCTGCATCGTTGCAGCTCTGACCTGGGCTGTTGAGGAACAGGTGCTGGAGGCTCTCCGTAACCAGCCAGGTCCCAGCACTTGCCCAGCTGACCGCCTTTTTGTCCCCGAAGACCTGAGGTCCCAGGTCGTTCAGTGGGGACATGACTCCCGCCTAGCTTGTCACCCTGGCTCCACCCGCACTTACAACCTGCTCGCCCAGAGGTTCTGGTGGCCCTCTCTGAGGAAGGATGTACGGGAATTCGTCCAAGCCTGCCCCATCTGCAACCAACACAAGTCGTCCTGCCAGCCCCCAGCCGGATTGCTGCAGCCCCTGCCTGTGCCCAGACGTCCCTGGTCTCACATCGCCCTTGACTTTGTCACGGGGCTGCCCCCTTCAAGTGGCATGACCGTCATTCTCACCATCGTTGACCGTTTCAGCAAGATGGCACACTTCATTCCCCTCCCCAAGCTCCCAACCGCCAAGGAGACCGCCCAGGTGGTCCTGGAACACGTCTTCCGGATCCACGGACTGCCAAAGGATGTAGTTTCTGACCGTGGTCCACAATTCTCCTCCGCTTTTTGGAAGGAGTTCTGTCACCTGCTGGGAGCCACAGTCAGTCTGACTTCCGGATTCCATCCCCAATCCAATGGGCAGTCAGAGCGGGCTAATCAGGAGCTCGAGAAGGCACTGCGATGCATGACTTCACGCAACCCCCACTCCTGGTCGCAGCAATTGACATGGGTGGAGTACGCACACAATTCTCTGACCTGCTCTGCCATCGGTATGTCCCCTTTCCAATGTGTTTATGGATACCAGCCTCCTCTATTTGCCAGCCAGGAAGAGGAGGTTACTTGCCCATCTGCACTTGCTTTTGCCCGTCGATGTCGCCGCACCTGGTCACAAGCCCGAGCCACACTCCTCAGATCCGTTGCCAGCTACACTACCGGGGCCAACCGTCGGAGAATTCCTGCTCCCACCTACCATGTTGGTCAAAGGGTGTGGTTGTCATCGAAGAACCTGCCACTCAGGGTGGAGTCGCAGAAGCTGGCACCTCGGTTCATTGGCCCATTCCCTATCATAAGAGTGATTAGCCCAACTGCTGTCCGGCTCCAACTGCCTAATTCCCTGAGGGTGCACCCCACTTTCCATGTGTCTAAGATTAAGCCCATCCATGAGAGTCCGCTGGTCCCTGCTGCGCCTGGTCCTCCTCCTCCACGGCTCGTCGATGGTGGTCTGGTTTACACCGTCCGCCGCCTGCTTCGGTCCAGACGGAGGGGTAGGGGTCTCCAGTACCTCATTGACTGGGAGGGCTATGGACCTGAGGAAAGGACCTGGGTGCCAGCTAGTCGGATTGTGGATAGGACTCTCATCACCGCTTTCCACCAACGGCATCCTGATCAACCTGCAATCCATAGGGGCCGCCCCAGAGGGGTCCCTAACCGTCCTGCCCGCTCGGCTTCCTGTCCTGTGCCTGATCCTGTCTCGGGACCTGTCCCATCTCCCGACCACGGCCCTCCGGCTTCCTCCGAGGATGAGGACGTTCACTCGGACCGTTCGGAGGAGTTCTAGCCCTCCTCCGGCTCCCCTCCTCCCGCCCGGCGTGGTGTTGCTCTTGGGACTTCTGGGGCCGTCCCTTGGGGGGGGGGGTTCTGTCATGGGCCTCTCACTCCACCGGGTTACCACCTTAATTTTCTTCCACTCTGCTCACCACTCTCTCTACTCAGCCTAACTAGCTCCACCTGTCCCTGCTCTGCTCTGCTCTAATTACTCTGCCAGCTGCGCTGCATTACCCACTACCTCTCCCAGTATTTAAGGCCCTGTCTTTCAGCTCTCCGGTGTCAGATCGTCTGCAAAGCTCACACCCGGAACCTGTTTGCTCGCGCTTCTGGCTCACCCTGGTTTTGTGACCCCGGACCTGCCTGTTTTTTGGATACTCTTCTGCCTCAGGAGATCCAGACCTGCTTCTGCCATTACGACTCCTGACTACTCTTCAATCCCGGACTTCTGGACCACCCACCACCGGCTTCATAGGACGCATCGCTGCCACTGGGGGGGGCACAGACCCAGCACATTGGACGGGACCCCTGTTACCCCTGGAGCCTTCATTCACTCCCTACTTCCCTTTTCCCTTAAGTTTAATAAACTTTCTGGTGTGACGCAATTGTGGTCCTCTGGTCGTCTGTCTGAACCGTGACATGTATATGATAATGGGTAACATACATCACAGGAGGTTGGTGGCACCTTAATTGGGGAGAACAGGCTTGTGTTAATGACTGGAGCGGAATGGGTGGAATGGTATCAAATACATCAAACACATGGTTTCCAAGTGTTTGATGCCATTCCATTTGCGCCGTTCCGCCCATTATTAAGAGCTGTTCTCCAGTCAGCAACCTCCTGTGACATACATTTATGGACTCGTATCACCTATCACCAGATGCTTAAATACTTTCCCACATACTGTGGCGTAGTGACCCTCCCCACCAGCCCCAGCTCCTCCACTTGCCAGACTGCATCTCCTATCCCACTTCTGACATCAATGTAGCAAAGCCAAGAATAGAGTCCAACCAGCAACATTGTGCTCGCCAATCCAACACTGTAGTTGGTGTGCCAAAGTCCGAAACCTCGTTACATATGGCAGAGCATTGACAAATACATGTATTCAGATTGTAAAAGTGCAATTGTCTAAATAAGTATGACAGCTCACTGCGCAATATCTGGTTGCTTTATGATACATAATCAGCTCCTTAACCACAACACCACAGCTGTCTTCATAAATGCACAACGCAGTCCCTCATCACTACGCTGGCTTCTTTCATGCCTCTATTCTCATTTTGTGTCACACTCGACTACTTTACCACCTTTAACACATTCTCATCACTTATCGTTTTTAATTTACTTTGTGAACAGGAAGGCTTACATCTGAAGTGACCACTTCAATTCTGTAGAGGAGTTAAGAGAATGAGCAACCCTGACTTTAACAATGAAATTGACATAATAAAACATTTGGACTGACTGAGTCTTACTCTTCATTTGTGCATCTCCCTTCCTACATCCCGTATCTCTACCATTACTCCCCTCCCCTTCTCCTCTCCTCCTCCCCCTCTCCTCCTCCTCTCCCCTTCTCCTCTCCTCCTCCTCTCCCCTCCTCCTCCTCCTCCCATCCTCCTCTCCTCCTCCTGTCCTCCGCCAGCTGGCCAGCCAAAGATTGTACGGCGGATCTTCACCAACAGCCGGGAGCGCTGGCGGCAGCAGAATGTCAACGGGGCGTTCTCAGAGCTCCGGAAGCTCATCCCCACCCACCCGCCGGACAAGAAGCTGAGCAAGAACGAGATCCTGCGTCTGGCCATGAAGTACATCAGCTTCCTGTCCAACCTGCTGGATGACCAGGACGGAGGGGGCACAGTAGCCGCGAGCGATGAGACGGGGCTTCTGGTGGGGGGCCATGAGGGTGGACCCCAGGGGCCCTGTCAGGACGTGGTGGGACTGGCCACGGAGGACGACCTGCTCCTCCAGGGCACGTTGTCGCCCGGGTCCAGCTGTGGGAGTCTGCCAGATGGGGACGGCAGTCCCGAGAGCTTCACAGAGGACAGGGACTCGCCCCCAGCCCAGAGGACTGTGCCCGCCCCGCGCGGTAGGGAACTGCGACGCAACGTGCGTCCACAAGACAGTTGCAGCCAGCGATGACGGTGATGATAATAGTGGTGGTGACAGTCATGACGATGGTGGTGACAGAGTTGACGATGATGGAGTTGATGGTGACGGTGTTGATGGTGGACCGCAGGAAAATCGAAATGGATTGACTTATGTCCCCGAAAGAGGGATGACAAGGGCCCTAGCATCTTTGAGCTTCATCTAAAGAGTAGTGCTTTAGGTTCTGGAAGCATGCTGAGGACAGAATTTCACTTCATCAGGATGCTAATCAGCCCATACTGAAGCCAATGGCAGCTTGCTTGGTATGGTCCTTATTTGGTCAGTTGGTTGACAAAACGAAATACTTGTAAATTCTGCATGCTTTTAATGCTGTCTATGACCTGGGTTGAGGAACACCTCATATTTCCGGAGTTATGAATGTTCAAATACAGTGTGCTTATGTTACACTATCATGTCATGAGAAGTATACATCCTATGTCATCATCATAGAAGTCACTGATGCCATGGTACACGAGGCGACGCAATGGAGGTTACATCAGGAAATGGCAATGCTGTCATGTTCTCACCTTGGGTTAAGATCCAACTTCGCCAGTCGTCAATGAGGGCATTCTAACTCTTCTGAATGGTCAAGTTTACGACAACAACACGACAACAGCATAGCTGTTTCACTGATAGCAATGACTTGACGTCAAATCTTCACAACATAATACACACTTAAACAAGTATTAACACATTTTCAAGCAAATAATTGTTGTTATCTTAAGTAAGGTTTTAGCACTCACAACACATTATCAAACATGCACATATATCATTACCTACCAAAATATTTTCTACAGTGGTTCATGTCAAGTGATGTGATTAGGCAGTTTGATATATTTTAGACAGGGTTTTCAGGCAGGTTTAGTTTTTTAAAAGATTCTGCTCAGTGCTCCTGAACACATTAAACCAACAGTGGCCAAACAACATGTTCTCTAGAAAATGAATGACAAACATGTAGAATGATATAAATGTGGTACCTTATTTATATTTTTGGTCACACATAACTGATTAGCATTGAGTAAAACACCCCAGAGTAACATGGCAACTGACTGTGAACCGTGTGCACACACAAACACACACACACAAACACACACACACACACACACACACACACACACACACACACACACACACACACACACACACACACACACACACACACACACACACACACACACACACACACACACATCAAGTACAATCTGATTTCTGAGACACATTGCCATAGCATGTAGATGATGGACTTATGTGTGGAGAGGTAACAAGCAACTACATCTACCAGAGGTTAAGAAATTACAATTTCTCCTGTCAAGAGGTACAAATGGTATTTCCGTAACTGATGTCCAATGAAATCATATGATGACTCACCCAATAATTTTGTATATTATACATTTCTATTTCAATGTTTTTTTTCATTGTAATGCACTTGTGATTTGGTATGGTACACTAAGTATATCACCTCCTAAATATGCCCTCATTTTCTCTGTTGGGATTAGCAACAACACCAGCAGTTTTATGTCAGTAAACAGTGAGGCGTACATCTCTGTTGTTTGGTTATTTGATCACTGCTTTTTCAGCAGACATTTAGTAGCCTATCTTGGTACCTTTGGTTACTATTTTATGAACTACAGGAAAGCAAAGGGACATTGTATGTTCTTTTTAGTAAAAAAGCATGTTTGTTGTATGATAGATATATCTATGACTATATGCAATGGCTTTTATATAAAATGCTGAATAAAATGAACACATGAAAAGGCAACAAAATACTCCTTATGTATGTTATAAACCATGTCTATGACAGACTATTTTTTCAAGCATTTTTATAACACAGATTTGTACATTTTTGTTATGCATTTTTATTTATTTACTTATTTCTCAGGAATCATTACCCATATAGAATTAAGACTATGGAACCAATGTGTTAACAATATTTGAAAACAATTCGTTCTTACATTTTAAAGCTGACAATCTAAAATGGACCAATCACTCCCTGTAACACATCCTACTGCCTAGACAATGTGAAGTAAATCCATAACCCCCCACAAGGGATGTAAAACACTCCCACTGGAGTCTGGAATCCTCACTTCCTCTAAGCAAGTGACAACTTCCTGCAAAGGTCATCATGGCTCAGTGACCTTCAGGATATCCTGCCATTGTGAAAGTGGTTCACAGTTTTTAGACCCTCCACACTCGCAGTCTGTCTGTAGCATTACCAAACAATCACAACCAACATGGAGAGTTATTCATTGATGATGCGACACAAAACCAAAAAGTAAACCACAAACACAGTAATAATGCACAAACACAGTAATAATGCATAAACGCTACATCAACCATTTTACTTAATGATAACATTGCAGTAAAAATATGTTTCTGTTTCTGTATGAATTATTGTGATATCAGCTCCACTTGCACACATCACAAAACCAAAGTGCATTGTTTCTAGGAAAGCGGAGACACCCTGGTGTTTTAGGACCTCTCCAGTATTCCGCAGTCGGCTATGACTGGACTGTGACCTCCATAACTAACTCTATGACTGGACTGTGACCTCCATAACTAACTCTATGACTGGACTGTGATCTCCATAACTAGCTCTATGACTGGACTGTGATCTCCATAACTAGCTCTATGACTGGACTGTGACCTCCATAACTAACTCTTTGACTAGACTGTGACCTCCATAACTAGCTCTATGACTGGACTGTGATCTCCATAACTAGCTCTATGACTGGACTGTGACCTCCATAACTAGCTCTGTGACTAGACTGTGACCTCCATAACTAGCTCTATGACTGGACTGTGACCTCCATAACTAGCTCTGTGAATGGACTGTGACCTCCATAACTAGCTCTGTGACTGGACTGTGATCTCATAACTAACTTTGTGACTGACTGTGACCTCCATAACTAGCTCTATGACTGGACTGTGACTTCCATAGCTAACTCTGTGACTAGACTGTGACCTCCATAGCTAGCTCTGTGACTGGACTGTGACCTACATAACTAGCTCTGTGACTGGACTGTGAATGCCATAGCTAGCTCTGTGACTGGACTGTGACCTCCATAACTAGCTCTGTGACTGGACTGTGACCTCCATAACTAGCTCTGTGACTGGACTGTGACCTACATAACTAGCTCTGTGACTGGACTGTGACCTCCATAACTAGCTCTGTGACTGGACCGTGACCTCCATAACTAGCTCTGTGACTGGACCGTGACCTCCATAACTAGCTCTGTGACTGGACTGTGTTCTCCATAACTAGCTCTGTGACTGGACTGTGTTCTCCATAACTAGCTCTGTGACTGGACTGCTAAACATTTACCTGCAAACTGGAGACTATAGTCATACTGTCCATCTAAAAAGAGTGAAAAAGTGACAAAAAGATAGGGTAAGTATGTGTGTGCTTGTGTGTTTGTGCTTGTATGTGCACGCATGTGTGTGTGTACGCCCGTGTGTGGATTTATCAGCTCAGTGCAGATGGATGGTAGAGTGGCTCTTGCAGCCAAATTATTCTGTATGTTAATGAGCTGTTATCTGACGCCCTGCAGGAACAATACACTGACTCTCACACGGTGGGGATCCAGCCTGCTGGGTACAGATTACACTGCCTACACCGCCATGGCAGTTATTTATATTTTCACACACAGTATACCTTAACACACACACACACACACACACACACACACACACACACACACACACACAAGCTAATGCATTTATGCGCTCAGAAACACACACAAACACACACACACACACACACACACACACAAGCATATGCATTTATGCGCTCAGAAACACACACACATGCACACACACACACAAACTCAAACGTAAGCAAACAGAAATGGTTTATCTCTTTTATTTGACCTGGAAAAATAGTATGGTTTAAAACATGGTGGAAAGCAGCTTTTCTCATTCTCTACCCACAGGTGGCGATGTCGCTCCTTTTATGGTTTGTATTGAATGTACAGGTTACTGCCAAAATAAAGGAAACACTCGAGTAAATGGGGGATACAAATTATATTGAAAGCAGGTGCTTCCACACAGGTGTGGTTCCTGAGTTAATTAAGCAATTAACATCCCATCATGCTTAAGGTCATGTATTGTGTGGAAACCCAACATTGAATTGCATTGAATTCTACGTTGGGCAGAAATTGATAGTTTGATCAAGAAAGTTTCCTCACAACCTCTACAAGCCAGAATGTTGAATAAAAGTACATTTTTACTTACTTTACCGGTTGTCTGTGCGGTTGGTGCTTTTGGCAGTAGGGATGTGAGACAATACAGTGCCTTGCAAAAGTATTCATCCCCCTTGGCGTTTTTCCTATTTTGTTGCATTACAACCTGTAATTTAAATTTATTTTTATTTGGATTTCATGTAATGGACATACACAAAATAGTCAAAATTGGTGTAGTGAAATGAAAAAAATAACTTGTTTAAAAAAATTCTAAAAAATTAAAAACGGAAAAGTGGTGCGTGCATATGTATTCATCCGCTTTGCTATGAAGCCCTAAAGAAGATCTGGTGCAACCAATTACCTTCAGAAGTCACATAATTAGTTAAATAAAGTCCACCTGTGTGCAATCTAAGTGTCACATGATCTCAGTATATATACACCTGTTCTGAAAGCCCCCAGAGTCTGCAACACCACTAAGCAAGGGGCACCACCAAGCAAGCGGCACCATGAAGACCAAGGAGCTCTCCAAACAGGTCAGGGACAAAGTTGTGGAGAAGTACAGATCAGGGTTGGGTTATAAAAAAATATCAGAAACTTTGAACATCCCACGGAGCACCATTAAATCCATTATTAAAAAATTGAAAGAATATGGCACCACAACAAACCTGCCAAGAGAGGGCCGCCCACCAAAACAGACCAGGCAAGGAGGGCATTAATCAGAGAGGCAACAAAGAGACCAAAGATAACCCTGAAGGAGCTGCAAAGCTACACAGTGGAGATTGGAGTAGCTGTCCATAGGAACACTTTAAGCCGTACACTCCACAGAGCTGGGATTTACGGAAGAGTGGCCAGAAAAAAGCCATTGCTTAAAGAAAAAAATAAGCAAACACTTTTGGTGTTTGCCAAAAGGCATGTGGGAGACTCCCCAAACACATGGAAGAAGGTACTCTGGTCAGATGAGACTCAAATTGAGCTTTTTGGCCATCAAGGAAAAGGCTATGTCTGGCGCAAACCCAACACCTCTCATCACCCCGAGAACACCACCCCCACAGTGAAGCATGGTGGTGGCGGCATCATGCTGTGAGGATGTTTTTCATCGGCAGGGACTGGGAAACTGGTCAGAATTGAAGGAATGATGGATGTTGCTAAATACAGGGAAATTCTTGAGGGAAACCCGTTTCAGTCTTTCAGAGATTCGAGACTGGGACGGAGGTTCACCTTCCAGCAGGACAATGACCCTAAGCATACTGCTAAAGCAACACTTGAGTGGTTTAAGGGGAAACATTTAAATGTCTTGGAATGGCCTAGTCAAAGCCCAGACCTCAATCCAATTGAGAATCTGTGGTATGACTTAAAGATTGCTGTACACCAGCGGAACCCATCCAACTTGAATGAGCTGGAGCAGTTTTGCCTTGAAGAATGGGCAAAAATCCCAGTGGCTAGATGTGCCAAGCTTATAGAGACATATCCCAAGAGACTTGCAGCTGTAATTGCTGCAAAAGGTGGCTCTACAAAGTATTGACTTTGGGGGGGGTGAATAGTTATGCACGCTCAAGTTTTCTGTTTTGTTGTCTTATTTCTTGTTTGTTTCACACACAAAAAATATTTAGCATCTTCAAAGTGGTAGGCATGTTGTGTAAATCAAATGATACAAACCCCCCCAAAATCCATTTTAATTACAGGTTGTAAGGCAACAAAATAAGACAAATGCCAAGGGGGTATATACAGTGGGGGAAAAAAGTATTTAGTCAGCCACCAATTGTGCAAGTTATCCCACTTAAAAAGATGAGAGAGGCCTGTAATTTTCATCATAGGTACACGTCAACTATGACAGACAAATTAAGGAAAAAAAATCCAGAAAATCACATTGTAGGATTTTTAATGAATTTATTTGCAGATTATGGTGG